TTGCTCTTCCCAGCCAACTAGTCCAGCCTTGGAAGACAAAAGAAAAATGAGGAGGAACCCAATAGAGGGATGCTTTTGGAAGCCCTTCTCAAGAAACTCCAATGGACTCTCATATGAACATTGGAAAATTGTCCTGTTCTGACTTTTCTAGTTCCCAGCCTAGAACTTGTAATGCTAATTACTCTTGCCTTTACTTCTCCTTCACATCTCCTATTCATAATTCAAGGACTTTATTCTCCCCTTAGAGACAAGAGTTATGCAATTTGGGAGTCTTTTAGACAGACCCACTGAAGGGGTACTCCAATTGCCTCACCCTGCATCCCTGTTCAGCATGGAAGAAGCCAAAGCAGTCTGCGTCCCTATTCCCTATTGGCAATTTGGGTAACCCCTTCAGAAGATGGTGTGGTAAGAACAGGAGGTAAGAACTAGCTAGGCAGTTAGGGTGAAAAGGCCCTAAAGAAAAGTAGCCAGTTTCTTGGCTGAAAGTCAAAATGACCGTGGGCCTGTTAGCAACATACTCTGTTCCAAGGCCAAAAATGTGAAAAGTATTTGGGAGCTTGTATGTAATCCTTAAAAGATTTTAGGGTTACCTCTTCAGAGCGGGGAATGTTGGAGGGGAGGGAGTGGGCATGGATTTGATCAAAACACCTTATATACATGCATGAAATTTTCAATAAAGTTTTTGTAAAAATTAGAAAAAAGAAAAATAAATAACAAAATAGCTAATACTTTATCAAGTATGTGCCATGTTCCAGATACTAATCTGAATTCTACATGCAAAATTAACTTATTTAAATGCCACAGCAGAGCTGAGTGTATAAGCAGTATAGCACTTGCCTAACATGCGCAAGGCCTTGGTTTCCACCAGCAGCACTACAAACAAAAATGTCTACCCAGTGCCATGGCAACCCAATGAGATATATACTATAGTCACCCTGTGTCCCAGATAAGCACTTAGACACTGAGAGGCTAATTAACTGTAGAGATTACACCTGGAAAATGGCAGACATGAGATAAGGGCATCAGTGTAGGGTAGAGCTACATGGAAGCCCTTTATTTCTACAATACACTTCCTAGATTGGAAATTCATGTAAGCCTTTGTCCTGAAGGCACTAAATATACTGGTTCCTTGAACTATAAATATGAAGTAACATTTTGAATGTTTATTCCTGCTACTGTGAGTCCATATGCACACAGATGTCCACAGTGAGGAAGGCATGCTATAGGTGCACCTCACCAAAATGCAAGCCAGTTGACTCCCAATTGTGGTACTCACCAGTCCCTTTGTTTATGTGCCACGTTATGGTAAAATTACCATCTTCAACTCTATATCGTGTTTCCCACAAATCTGCTTCAATCCTTCTATATTTCTATTCTTAAAATTCCCATGTCACCCAGCAGTTGATCTCACTTTTGAGTTTCTAGAAAGTCAATCTGTCTTAATTGGGCTCACAACTCCTCTCCTACTTGAAAAGGTCTCTCTGTATCTCTGTCTCTCTGTCTCTGTCTCTCTCTCTCTCTCTTCCTCTCTCCCTCCTTTCATTTTTCCCCTCTCTCATCAGAGGTACCTCTCCTTCTGACCAAGACAATAACTCCCCATAAAGCCAGCAGAACACCCAGGAACAAGATGCTTTTTTGTTTAGTATTCCCAAGGTTCTTCTCAGTCAAAGAGAAACAACAGTAAATATTTTAATAAATGAAACCAAGAAGTAATGTCATATCATAAGGTACCAGGTGTATTGAATAGAATTTTCCTATACATTCATTTTAAGAGTAAAATCATTATAACCTCCTTTATCATTAAGTAGTATAGAAAACTTAAATTTCATGGCAGGAGCTGCTGGTTAATCCTTCATCAATCATTTGTGTCCCCTTTCCTCAGTCAAATCATAGATTGGTTGCTGTCCAGCCCAGCATTATATTTCCTAGCCCTTTTTCTTCTAAGCACGGCCCCAGGAATGGTTCCTGACAAGAGTATGTGTACAGAAATGCCCTGCAGCACATCCAGACCACCAAGGTAAGAAGCAGCAGAGGACTTTGTTATTGCCCTTGTCTTCTCTTCACCTGGGGGTAGAGCATTCATCTCAAGGCTATGAAGCTCTGGAAATAGCAGCGCCATGTGATGCAAGGTCCCTGAAAGATGACTTGGGGGAGAGCCTCTTGCCAATCGGAAACATACAGTTGTATTTTAAAAGAGCCAAAAGTAATTTCTCACAATGTTAAGGCACGAGGTTTTATATTCTATAACTGCAGCCACTATTTCCCTTAACTAATACTAGCGCTTTTTGTTTCGAGGGTTGTTTTTTTATAATTCTTATTTCTTTCTTGGCTTCTTGCAAAGATTCCTAAAACAAATTTACTGCATGAAGTAGATGTTTAGTAAGTATTTTAAACAAATATAAACTTCTCAGAGTTCTGAAAAATATTATATCTTTAGAAACTTTTTTTTAATTTAACTGGAAGGCCCGTTGGAATATGTGACAGACAAACTATAAAGACTAAAGTATCAAAAGAAGGATTTACTTCCTCCCTTCCTGTCTTCCTCCTCCCTTCCTCCTCCCTTCCTCCTCCTGCCGGCTGACCTCTTTCTACGGCTGCTGTCAGAGCAGTCACAGTGCTTGGTCCCTGAAGTTTACTTCCTAAATTGCCTGAAATCTCTTGCTTATTTCTATTAACACATATCTCAACTTGAACGATGCTTCTCAGGGATGTCTTTATCATTGGCCACTCTCTCCCCTTCCCCATCAGAGAAGAAAAATCTGAGATCACTTCTCTTCTGTTCTCCTACAGATTTGGATGAAGGTAATGGAATGCGAAGAATGCACAGTCACAGCTGGAAGCATCATGGCATGTTCTAGAAACAAGCGCCTGAATAATGTGAGAGGGAGACACCTTTAAGTAACTCAGCCCTTTATTTATGGACTTTGACTTGTCTTGGACTCACCTTGGTTGGCCATTTTATGTCTGCCTTTCATCATTTTTCTTTTCTCTTTATACTGCTTCAGAAATATTCCTATACCAAGAAGTGTGGGGTCCAAAGTGCTTCACGTGATGTAAAGCGCTCTGTAATTTGCATTACCTCCACAATATTAAACACACTTGGTATACATACCAACTTCCCATGCTCTTCAACTATCTATGATGTCTTTTCTCCCTCTGCTAAGTGGCAAGATTTTATTCATATTTTCAAATCCATGACAAATGTTATCTCCTGCACAAAACCGGGCTCCACCACTCCCCATCTCCACAGTAATGGTTATGACTCTTTGCGAACTGCACTTGCAGCATCCTATAATTTCTGTCTAAATAACACCGGCATGTAAGTGAAAGTAACTGCATTGCTGTCTTCTCAAGAAGATGACTTATCTCTGAAAACTTAGTGCTAGAACCAATGTCTGACACTTAAGTATGAACAAGATATTTCTATTGAAATATGTCACTGTGCTCACTAAAAAGGCATTAGCAACATCACAAGGTGAAACATAATAACTCAGGGAATGGTAAGGTAAGCAACTCAGCAAAAAAATCTCTTGAACCAACATATCTTCAAATGTTAAAATTATCAAAGATGAGTACTTAAAGCTTCTGATGCTTTCAACAAATTGAGAATCATTTGTTCATCAAGTTCTCTCAAGACTTGATAGGAACAGACTTGGGAAAAAAGAAGACTGTGGTATGTGGGTAGTTCTGTGCCAACTCCACTCTCAGTGCCATGTTATAGAAAAGCTATTTTTGCAGCTGGATTTGGCAGCTGGGAAAATATTTGCAGATTTCTTCTCTACCAGCTCAGCAGCTCTGCACAAGACCTAGTCAAGGACAGTAGTAACCTTGCCTGTCCACACTCCTACTTTACAGGGACATTCTGTAGGTCAGTTAATGAAGAGAAAGCTCCCTCCTTCCCATTTCCATCATCCCATCTCCTATCCTACAAAGAACTTCTGATGGTCCAGTTAAGGAAGAGAAAGCTTCCTCCAATCACATTCCCATCATCCTCATCTCCTATGTACAGGGAAGTTTGGAGAGTAGGCAGTTAATGGACAGCAAGCACTCTGATCCTTGCACAGAAGTTCTGCCTAGGTATAAGCACAATTTCTAGCCAACTCACAGATAACAACTGATCAAAGAACACTAGTTGTGTTGCTCACAGTGTAACCCCTGGGTAGACAGGCCTAGAGAAAGAAATATTTTTAAAATCTGAACAGGGATAAAAGCTTCACATTGCCACAGTAATAGACTCCCTAGTATTAGTCTCCACAAGTCACTAAACCAAAAACCAAGCAAACGAACAACAAAACTATGAAGTCCTGACAAGAAGAGTAAGTGTCCAGAGTTTCCAAACTATAATATCTAAACTATTTCAAAAAAATTAAGAGACATACAAAGGATCAAGAAAGTTTAATATATATAAGAAAAAAAAATCAAACAATAGAAACTGCTGTTGAAGGACCCAGACATTAGACTTAGCAGATGAACACTTTCAAGGAATAGTTAATATAGTCAAAGAACTGAAGAAATCACATTTTAAAATTAAAGGACAATATGACAATAATAACTCAACAAATTAAAATGTCTGTAAAAAGATATAACAGCCGGGAAGTACAGAGAATGAGAGGAAAGGTCTAGGGATATGATATCCCTCAAAGGCATGAGCCTATGAACCCATTTCTTTCAACCATGCCCTACACCCTAATAGCACATTCAGCATAGAACTCATGAATGGGTTAGTCCATTAACAGAGTTCATGCCCTCATGATACAATGATACCTCAGTAGTGTCATCAGTGGGACGCCAAGCCTTCCACACATGAGTGTTTGGGGGTGACATTTAATATCCAAACAATAACACAGTCAAATGAAAATTTCACTAAAAGGACTGACTATGATAAATAATTAGGAAACTTAAAGGTAAAGATAAATTATGCATTCTTAAAATGAGAAAGCAAAAGGAATAAAAATTTAACACAGTCTCTGCAAAATGCAGGACATTATTAAGTAGGCTGCAATGTGGATAAGAGTAGGATGATAACCTTCCTCCCCATTTTCCCCTTTTCCCTTCATGTCACCTGTATTCCCTCTCCTCACCAAAGTCCCTTTTCTAGTTTCCTGGATTCTGTGGTTCTCCAAGTTAAATGCACAAATCTAAAGATTCGACACTAGGATCCACATTTAAGTGATAACATTTATCTTCCTGGTCTAGGTTAACTCACCAGTACAGTGCTTTCCAGTTCCATCCATTTCCCATAATTTCATTTTTCTTTATAGAGGAATAAAATTCCACTGTTTAGGTACCACATCTTTACTATCTGTTCGTCAACTGATGGACATCTAAGCCATTTCCGCGTTGTAGCTATTGTGAATAGAGAAATGATGAGCATGGAACAGCATGTGTCTCTGTAGGAAGAAATAGAGTCATCTAGGTATATGCTCAGGAGTAATAGAAGAAGGTCACATGCTAGATCTATGTCTAGGTTTTTGAAGAATTGTCACACTGATTTCCATAGTGGCTGCACCAGTTTATTCTCCCACCAACAGTGCATGAGGCCTCCCCATGCCTCACATCCTTGCCAACACCTGCTGCCTTTTGTTTCTTGCCCTTAGCCATTCTGATATAGGATAAGATAAAATCTCAAATGAGAGGATGGATGGAGTGGTAATTAATACTAAA